GAAACTACTCAGGGCCTGGAAAGCCCTGTTTTAGGCTGAAACGACATAGGGCCTGCAGGCCCTTGTTTTCAGGCTTTCAGGCTGAAACGACACAGGGCCTGTAAGCCCTTGTTTTCAGGCTTTTAGGCTGAAAACGACACAGGGCCTGTAGGCCCTTGTTTTCAGGCTTTTAGGCTGAGAACGCTGGTCGGGCCCTGCAGGCCCGTGTGGCTGCGCAGTATGCCACAGATGCAGCAAACAGCCCAAGTCCGGAGACTCAGGCCGTGCCCAACTGTAAAGGGCCCAGACCCTCAACTGTAGTCTCGGGCCTGGGCGCAGGGTCTGAGGCTCAACCGGAAGCTACTGGAAGATCCCAGCCAGGACACACGCAGCATCCAGGAGGCTGCCATTTCCACAAAAGGAGGGGGGCAGTCTAGGCCAGGGATTCTGGCCAGTGCTGGCAATGCGGAAGTGCTGGTGCGCTATCGCTCGATGCTGCGCTGCTGCCAAGGGCGCCGACGGGGCGCGTAGTGGTGAAGTGAGGCGCTGCAGGGCAGTGGGGCGCAGGCAGCGATAGCCGGGCTGCTGGGCACCGGGGGTGTAGCGGACGATCTGGTGGTCTTCCGGGAAGGAGGCGAGTGTGGGGTAATCAAGGTCTGTGTGGCATACTACGTAGCCACACGGGCCCTGCAGGGCCCATCCCGCACTTTCAGCCTAAAAGCCTAAAACTTAGGGCTTACAGGCCCCGGTCGTTTCAGCCTGAAAGCTGAAATACGAGGGCCTGCAGGCCCTACTCCGTTTTCAGCCTATTTCTGGGCCTTTCAGGCCCAGAGGCTTTTCAGCCTGAAACGGAGGGCCATTTTCAGGCCCTCATTGTTTTCGACCTACCTAAGACTCAGGCACAAAATCAGGGTTTTGGGAACAGGCCAGAAATAGCCTGTTCCCCACGCCAGCTTGCAGCAGGAGCTGCAGCGGCAGCCCCTGACTGTCCCAGGCATTGGCAAGAGCAGCAGGCCGAGTAGTACATAGGGGTTCCCATGCACTTCCGAGGTAGGTAGTTGGACAGTAGTCAGGGTAGTCTTCAGGATAGCGGAGCCGCACTCAGGAGGAGCGCTGCCCAGGGAAGCTTAGCGCTAGTGGTAGTCTTCAGCGCTGGGCGCTATAGCAGTAGTAGTAGTAGTTATATAGGAGAGAGATGACTGGCGGAGGCCAGTGGTACTTACCTGTGGCGTCATCGCTCCAGCTCCATCTTCGAGGTACCTGCATCACAGCGCCGCCTTCACAGGTGTACCGGACTGAGAGAGAGAGAGAGTTCTTCTTCTTACTCTTCTAAGTCCACCATCTTTTCTTCCCCTCTCGCTGCCTACCTCTCAGTATCTGTGGACTACGAGAGAGAGATATGACCTGAGACTTGACGACATCGGATTCAGACTCGACATTTGGGATTCAGACATTTTGACGAGGGACTATTTGGGCCTGTGCCGAAGACTTGGTGTTGACGACATTCCCATCTTCCCTCCTCTTCGTCTAACCCCCCTCTTCTTCGTCTGTGTATGTGTGGGGCTGGCGCAGTCTTCCTGTGTGAAGCGCCAGACCCCTTTCACACTCTGGGATGATGATGATGATGTATGTTCAGGGCTGCATTGCAACATTGATTGTTCGGATCATTGGTATCTAAGTCTTCCGTTTGCGCCATCTTGTACTTTGTATTGAGAGGTCGGTTCTTGTTCTGGTCTGCACAGTTACAGTATGCAACAGTCTGATTGAGGGTGACGAGATACGTACCTGGTGCATGAAGAGAGGTCGGCTATGGAGTTGACAGTCATGTTCATCGGTCTTCGAGAGTCGAAGTGAGCCTGTTGCGTGAACCAGCTGTAGGTAGGATAGTCAGGCGGAGTAGGTTGGGCGCTGGGCGCCAGACAGAGAGGAGCAACTTTGGATACTGTGTTGGTGTGGCCTACGGGCTTGAACATTGGCTCATTACTTCATTGCATTGCTCTATATGGATGGTTTTCTTGGTGCATTTTGTACTCTCTGCTTGGATATGACTACGTGGACATCTGTGTGATTTCGCAACTTGGTTTTATGTATATCGTTCGCACTCATATTCCTTGCACTTGTGCTTTCTTCTTTACTTCTTCCTCTTTCTGTTTTTTTTTCTCTTCTTTTTCTTTCTTCTTCTCGCCCAGGCGGCAATCTACCTCAGCCTGCTCTGCAGCAGAGAGTCTGGACTTTGCTGTTCCGGATCTCATCATCACATGGGAGCTACATACTCTCCCAAAGCCAAGAGGAAGGAAGAATTGGAATAGTGGCCCCAACAAAATAGAGAGTGTCACCATCCCATACATGGGATAGTCATCCATGGTGAGAAGAGCACAGGGGTAGACCTCCACTCACTCACCAAGTAGCTACCCCAAATTTCAATCTAATAAAGTGGATTGGATCTGATTTTTTTTTTTTTTTTTTTTTTTAATTTCTGGCTGCTTGCTGCTCTTCAGAACACAATATCGATTTCAAAAATCTTTTTCTTTTTTTTTAAACGCTGTCTATCTGGACTCTTTTTTTTAGTGTTAACTAGATGGACTTATCTTGAATTCAGAATTCACTAATCTTCGCCTACTACCTGATAGTTCTCTCTACAGCCTATCTCTGCAAGGCATTCTGAGCCCAACTCAATTTAGTCATCCCTTCAGAACTTCACCTACTAGTCTATAATGATGATGACTCGTCCAGACAGCAGCAGCAACCACCAAGATTTTGGGAAGGTACCGATCACACACACATTCAGCATGCAAACAGGTCTTGGGGGCAGGAGTGCTTCTCTTATATGACGTTCATCGATGAAGCTCCTTGTACGCTCCACGCTCCAACGCTGTTCCAATCAGGTACGTAATCTTCCACTCAAGCCCCTTCTTCTTCGGCACTCTTCCCTCCAGATCCCACACAACGTTCTCTCTCTTCCTCCAAACTTCTCTTCTCGCCGGCCTTATGCTTGCCAGCAAACTCCAGTGAGTGTAACGAGTACAGTTCCGATACCAAATTGCAATGATCCTCAAAGCTCACCAGACGACGTAGTGCTCACACCAGCATACATGTCACACAGATTGTCTTGTCACACATTTGCACAAAGAGACGATGAGTTGCAGATCAGAAAAACGCAGCTTAATTATCTGAACCAGAATTATCACAACCAGATTATAGAGAGAGAATCAAGAGTTCAACTGTCCAGTGCTTCACAGGATTACAAGCCTGCTTCGATCATCAAGGGTCTCAGCATCCGCGCTCATCAGCGCTTGTCACCAACACCAAGTTCAACACTCTTCAGGTAAGTATCCATCATAGCTCATTCTCTCTCCCTCTTATCTTTCTCTCTCACTTGATGGTTCTGGTCTCCACTCTACACAGTCTTCTTCTTCTTCTCTACATGCACACTCCCTTCTACTAACACACACATGAGGATCAACTCTGAATACTACTCACTGCTCTACTACTAACCACTAACTACATTGCTTCCTGGTGCTGGCGCAGCTATGGCTGCCTTCTTCTCTGCCAGCGCCTACTTCCTCTCTCTCATCTCACTCAGCGGTGCTCTCTGGCATAGCGCAGCTCCCACACTAGTGCACAAGTGCACAAGCACTTCCACACTCGTGCGGATTAGCATCTGCCCGAATGGTAGGCTGGCCAGTCCTTTTGTAGTCTTGGAATGCACTTCAACTCATGCCAGCCTCTGCTTCCAGGGGCCTGACTGGTCCCGGTACCACATCCCTACGGCCTGTCTGCTTCTGAATGTCAAGGCCTGGAACCTTCCTGAATTTCCATGGGTCTGCTGCTGCTTGAACCTTTGAGTCGTGACTTTTCATTTGGGAACATGACTTTTGACTGTGGATAGTGACTCCTGCCTGTGGGTCACGACTTTTGCCTGTGATACTGCCTTTACTTGTGGGATGTGACTCTTCAATATGATTTTTCATTAGGAAACGTGACTCCTCTGAATGACTTTTATTTGTGAGACGTGACTCTTGTCCCTGAGATGTGACTTTTTGCTGGGTGCCAGTTGGACCAGACTGCTGAGGTACCCGATTGTGACTTTTCTGAGTTTGACAGACTCAGCCTTTTCTTGACCTGGGCATCTGACCCTGAGATCCGAATTTGGGGTCTGAATCGTGGAAGGCCTTTCAATAAGAGAAGTCGGATGTTATTTTATTTTTTGGTGGGGGGGGAGGGTGGTAGATCCGGACATCTGGACTGGACACTGGATGTGGACATCGAGACCCAGACTGTCCGCTCTGCAATAATAGGGGGTCCCCGTTAGCCATTAATGATCTATAGATTTTCCCTGTTTCTGATTCTAAGTAACTGCTGGTAAGTTCTCCTGATGGGATAGCAACTGCTAAACGGAAGTTTTGGTATGGATGTGTGCTGGTTATGATCCTAAAGCGGAAGTTCTCCTGATGGGATAGCAACTGCTAAACGGAAGTTTTGGTATGGATGTGTGCAGGTTATGATCCTTAAACGAAAATAGGGGGTCCCCGTTAGCCATTAATGATCTATAGATTTTCCCTGTTTCTGATTCTAAGCAACTGCTGGTAAGTTCTCCTGATGGGATAGCAACTGCTAAACGGAAGTTTTGGTATGGATGTGTGCAGGTTATGATCCCAAAGCGGAAGGTCCGCTGACCATGCTGATGTGGGCTTACCCAAGGTATGCATTTGTTTGTAGTACTTCGTACTATTTTTGTAGCCCTTCCTCTCATTCTCAATGGGAGTTCATTCTACTGTCTACCTTCTTCCTCCGCCTCTCACAACATCCTAGCATCAATTTTGGAACCACTTCCTTGCTGCTGGTCATTGGAAAGGCTTCTTGTGGAAAGAGAACATAAAATCTAGGAAGTGGATGACAGATTCGTTATTGGGCATCTAACTGCTGTTCCGCACCATATGATCCACTCGCTTGGACAGCAGATGATCCACTCGCAATTACAAAATGAGTCTGAGAGGTTTTGAAGGGAGCTGATGTTTGTTGGGGACGTTGTCTTGTCACTGTGCTCATGGCGATGACGTGTGCAATGTATACACTGATGGTATATCTTGCTCTGGAGGGGGGAGGAGGAGGAAGAGGAACAAGGGGCGAAGGAAGACAAAGAAGTAGCAGCAGCAAAAACCAACGAGCAGTTGCAGGAAGAAGAACCAAAAAGCAGCAGTTGTGAAGGCAACTCAGGAGCTGATGTCTGTTGGATTCGCTGTCTTCTCACTCTGCTCATGGCGATGACGTGTGCAATGTCTACACTAATGGTATATCTCGCTCTGGAGGGGGAAGGAGGAGGAAGAGGAACAAGGGGCGAAGAAAGTAGTGGTGAGGAGGACAAGGAGGAGGACGAGGAGGAGGAGGAGACCAAGACGAAGAAGCAGGAAAGGGGGAGGAGGAGGGTGGAGACCGGAGGAGGAGTGTGGAGGAGGTGGGGGAGGAGAAGGAAAAGAAGAGGAAGAAGAAGAAGTAGAAAGAAGTTAAGTTCGGCTTGAAAATTGAGAAATTGTTGTTAAATCAACAAGCGATGGCATGACTTACTGCAACAGAGCAATGAGGAGACCATAGAATTAGCGTGCTCTGCAAGAAGTACAAAACACTCTCCTACCAAATTCCGTAATTTGGAGGGGCTGATAGCATTTCCTGTCCTAATCAACCTATCGCTCCGCGAACAAAGAAGAAGATCCGATTCCAACAGCTCCTCACCTGTGTGATGTGTACTAATAACCTCGATGATGGCATACTCCACTGTCGCTTCTCTTGCACTGCTGCAGCCTGGTTCTTCATAATTACACCACTGGCATTCCCCTTACAGCTCCAATCTCTAAGTTCCTGAAATGCAGGCCACGGGTATGGTTCCTACTGCGCAGAAAAGTGCTACACTTTGTCAAGAAGAAGAAGAACTGATGAGGAGGAGGGGGAGGAGGAAGACGAAGGCGAAGAATGTGCAGCTAACATGGAGTCAATTTCCTCTGGCTGCTTCTGTGGAATCTTTCTTGGAACAGAGAGTTCAAGAGTAAGGATGCAGCAGGGCAGGTTCGTGGGTCACCAAATCAATTTGCCGGAATTGGAGGGACATCACCGCTGTTATGGCTTGCAAAGCGGTAAGATGTCTCTCGACACGAGCTGACTGCAGCCATGAAGCACCTGTATGAAGTCAACACACTGCCTGAGGCTCCATGGAAACACTGGGATTGGAACAAGAGTGCTCTGCTTGCAGTATCTGGTTCCCTCTCTGTGTCTTTTGCCTCGCTCTGGCTGGCTCCACATTCTGTACCTCTTTCTGATGTATTCCTGTGCAGGTAGTCCTACCGTCTTCCCCGGAACATAATGCACCCTGGTAATGAATGTATGCAACCTATATTTCCAGTCAGGAACAGCTAAAATGAGGGTGCATTGTGTTCGGGGGAAGATGGTAGGCAAGTCAATAGCAACTTGAGTGATATTGCGCAGATGATGGGACAGTGGGTGCTTTGCTTTGCGGTGACCTTCACCTTTTTTTTCCCCTTAAGCCCCAAGCCAGGTACCCTTCAGCAAAGATGTTGACTTAGGGATTGCAACCAGTCCTTCGGAAATTGTCTCTTTGGAGGAACGATCTACCTTGCTCTGTTTGGTGGTGAACTCTCGACCTTGCTCTGGTTCGTCTCTTGGAAAGTGCCTGCCATAGTGCAGGTATCTACTACATCTACTACATCTCTATGCTCCTAAAGAGAATAGTGGGCCCATGTCACACGCCCCGGCCGGGCCCAAGAGAAACTGTCAGGGGGTCGTACCGCCGGGGGCCGCAGTTTCACTGAGCTTGGCCCGGCGCGCATTTTTTTCCCTTGGCTCCAGTGCACGTGGCCGAAGTTCCCCGAATGTTTGAATACAAGTACATAGCAGTGTGCTGCTTGCCAGCCCTGCTGCTCTTTAGGTCGCGCAATTCATCTTTTTTTTTGGTGGTTGTTTTGCAGGGAGCCAGCCCACAGACTCTTCGAATGTGCCAATGAGGCTGAATCCTCTGCTAGGACATGCGAAGATACATTGTCTGCCAGCCCTGCTGCTCCTTGGGTCGCGTGGCTCACCCTTTTGTTTGTTTTTTTGTCGTTTTGCCAGCCCTGCTGCTCTTTGGGTCGCGTGATTCACCCTTTTCATCGTTTTGCCAGCCCTGCTGCTCTTTGGATCGCGTGACTCACCCTTTTGTTTGTTTTTTTGTCGTTTTGCCAGTCCTGTCGTTTTGCCAGCCGTGCTGCTCTTTGGGTCGCGTGATTCACCCGTTAGTCGTTTTGCCAGCCCTGCTGCGCTTTGGGTCGCGTGACTCTCCCTTTTGTTTGTTTTGTTGTCATTTTGCCAACCCTGCTGCTCTTTGGGTCGCGTGACTCACCCTTTTGTTTGTTTTTTTGTCGTTTTGCCACTCCTGCCGCTCTTCCGGTCCCACAATTCATGTTGTTTTCCTTTTCTGTCTTTTTCCAGGAGGGCCACCGCCGAATGTTTGAATACAAGTACATAGCAACTCGCAGTGCTCTCCGAATGTGCAAACTAGACTGAATCCTCTGCTAGAACATGGGACGATACATTCTCCAAATCTGCAAATGAGATGAGGCTGAATCCTCTGCTAGGAGATTTACTTTTGCAAGGAATATGAGCGAGAGCGATAGACAGAAAACCAAATTGCAAAATCACGCTGTAGTCCAGATAGTCGTGTACCAAGCAGAAAGCACAATGCACGGAGATACCAGCCAAATAAGAGCAATACAGTGAACTCAAATGTCAATGTCGGCACTCTCTCGCCACATCAGCATAGTATCCAGTGTCGCTCTTTCAGATTGGCGTTCAGCGCCCAGCCTATCCTACGCAGCCTATCTAGCCTACACTATGTTCATGCAACAGGAGTCGCTTCAAACTGAAGACCAATGTACGTGACGACGTCGCTAATGCATACTGCCAGCAGACACCAGGTATGTGCCTCTTCTCCCCTCATCACCCCCTGGCTCCCAACATCATGCGCCTCCCCTTGACGAAGATCACCATCGCCGACACTGGCCTCCGCACGCGCAGCCTGGCTATGGCTGCCATGCGCCCGCTGCCACAGCAGCGCCCCTCTCACCTATTGCGCCCACGTGCGCTCCGTGGAAAGTGCAGCTCTGCCTCTGGCTGCTTGGGCCTGGCGTGTGTGTGCCCAGTAGCTTCACGCTGGGCCAAAGTGTCTGCGCCTAGGCCCTAATTGCTGCCATATGCATTTTGGAAACTGCTAGCTGGCCGGTTCAGCCTGATTCATTTGCATCTGGCCCTAATTGAAGCCAGATGCTTTTTGGAAAGTGCTACCCGTTCAGAGCTCGAATCCTATTCTTAGGGCATACTCACACTAGGGTTTTTTCAAAAAAAAAATTTCCCCCTTTTTCTAAAGTTTTTCACAAATTTTCAGGCTTTTTGAGCTTTTTTGCTTCTTCCCGTGCAAAGCAGTGCCCTTCTCTTACGGCATTGTTTTCGCTTTCTCCTGGATGGAGTTGCGGCCAGATGCACCAAAGTGGGATTGCCCGTTGAGAATTGCTTTTTTTCCTGTTGTCCCGGGGGTGGGGTTTTCCCCTTTTCTGCTTCTCTTTCCTCTTGTGTCCGGGGTGGTGTGGGGTTGGCGCTGCTTCACCGCGGCAGGCTGACTTGTTCTATTAAAGTTTTTACAGCCGGGACCAGACTGTGTTCATCTGTGAGATGGGCCGTCCGATAACCAGCGAATTTTCCAGCCTGTATCGACGGCTGGCCTGAAAACGCAACTGAAAAAAAGGCAGCTACAGGCGGCACGACTATATCTCAACGTGCAAAAAAAAAAAAGGAAATGTGCCCCGATGCTCTGTGTCATGATGGGCCTCGGTGCAGAGCGAAACGGAAGAAAAAAAGACACAAAAAAACGGCCTTGGGATACTGGCCTCAACGCACCGCTGACCAACATGTTTGGTCAGTGGTGCGTCAAGGCCCAGCATCCAAAGACCCTTTTTTTGTTTTTTTATTTTCCCTCCGTTGTGCTCCGGCATGCGCCTTGCCACACCACTCACTGAATGTGCAAGTGAGGATAAATCTTCTGCAAGAACATTGAAAGATACGTCACCATAATTTTTGCCCTTTGGGCTGTTGGTCAGTGGCGCGGCGAGGCCCATATTGTCCTATTTTTTTGGGGGGGGGGCGCTGTGCTACGGCTGCGGTTCAGTTTGGTTTCAAAAATTCTTCAGTGTGGTCACGTTGTGGGCCTGCGGCCGTGAGATTTTCAGATTGTATGGAAGGGACCTATCCATACTCGAACCCATTACTAAATCCTCCCAATTCGGGCACGGCTGCGGCTCCTCCGATGGCATATGGCGACGGCTATTTGAACACACCAACAGCCGTCGCGGTGGCGGGTCTTTCTCTTTTGCCTGCTGTGTTGTGCCTGAAGATCCAGACAGTTGTATTACTCGGCTCAAAGAGAAATAGGTGAGCTCGCGTGGCGTGGCGTGGCAAAGTGTGCCCTACCTCATCTCTCTATCAGAGGCATTGTGCCTGAAGAGGTGGAGAGTTTCATTCACTCTCGGCCCAAAAGTGAAATAGGTGGGTTTGCCTGGCGTGGCGACGTGACCCTCTCTCTCTCTCTCTCTCTCTCTCTCTCTCTCTCTCTCTCTCTCTCTCTCTCTCTCTCTC